GCCTCCCTTAACTTTCTTCCAACCATCCCAACACTAGTCAGCATCGCGCGTCGTGGTAATCGGTGCTCAGGCATATGTAACACGTGGCCCAACCATCTCAGTCGATGAAGATCCACAACCTCATCAACTGATCTACCATAATTTCCTAATACTCTACGTCTAACCTCACTATTACTAACCCGGTGATCCCAGGAGATGTGAGTAGTGATTCAAATAAAACTTAACATAAAATTATATTTATATACTACTTAACCGATAGTTTTCATTGTTGTTGCAAAAAAAACAACACTGTTACATTGACTGATCAATTCTACGTTGCCATGAGATAAGTTTTTAACATCATGATTAACCTTCAACATAAAATTCAATGAATGGCTATTTAATGTCATGTTAACGACGTATAATTTGAGTTCGCTGTTAATAAACAACATAACATACTAGGACGAAACAGCCATCCAGTGCTGCCAGGTTTTCCATGGTGGTCTAGTTTCAACTGATTCATGAATTCAATTATTAAATAACAAAATATGTATATTCTTAATCAAAGTTTATAAATTACATTAATCCTATTACTGATAATACTTTTAACAGGGACTTTCATTGACGCACTTGAATAATCACGCGATAATATTTGACTTTGTCGTTATGTCTTTGACTATTAGTCTCTTATACATCATAAGTGATCCTATGATTCTGAGATGGTGTGCTGATGATGTCGTTCAGAAGAACGATGAAAGCTCCACGACCAAACCATCCAGCTCAGAGAACAAAACTCCATCAAAATCTTATGATTCATTTATTGATTTGTTTTATCCATTAATACTAATTCCATGTTATAAATTCCAATCAACATAAGTTTGCCTACTAGAAAATAAGCAAATTTTTTCATCGGATTATTTATTTGGCATATATTTCCAGCCTCCAAAAATGAGATCTTAGCAAATTCACCAACATCTGGAAGTCAAACGTCCATATTGAACACGCTGATAAGTGAACTTTTTCATAAAAAAACATTTAACTACTCATAAGTAACCACATGATTATTTCGAAATACTTTTCTGGATTATAAGTTTCACGTTTTTAAACAGATAAGGAAGATAAGTGTTTCATTATTCTCATTAAGCAGGTGAATTACACTGAATCGACTACACTGTCATCTAGAAGAAGAATAAAAACTTGAGAAATATTAGTTATTGTTATAATTTTGAACTTATGTGCTCTGTTTATTGTATAACGCAACGATACCGCCAATCAGAGAGCAGCGGATTATCAATCTAACCAGTGACGCATAAACACGTGAGAGCAGTCTAGAGTACTTATCGGTCCTGCTTCCTGTCTAGCCCAGCCAGTTAAGTCCAGAACACAAATCTAAGCCTCTGCAATATGAATCCTGTATTTTAATCATACGGGGTTTATATACCAATCAAACAGACAACAACGTACCATAAAATAGGAAACAACATTTGTACAAGATTTAACCAAATGTGGCTGTGAATGTGGGAGGTAGTAATTAATAGACAAGGCATAATTCAAGAATGGTAAATCGTATAATAATAGTTTATGGGTCAAAATGAAGCTCATAATAAGAGGGATATGAATATGAATAGTTTAGTTACATAACAATCATACGATAAAAATATACTAATAGTAATGGTTCATAAATGGATCCCAAAGTTACCATTTATTATTCTTATAGGGATATAACAGTTATAAGTTACTTTTGAAGAAAAGTATTTTTTGCATGACTGAATGTACACCTGTTTCTTCCTCTTCTGATTGCTTTTAAATAAATGGGATTTTAGTAAATAGGGAGATTTAGTCATTGTCGAATTGTTTTACATCCAATCTGATAAAGTTTAAAAACATTAAATCTGTCTTTAAGCACGATAAGCATTCGAACACCCTAGAGGAGTTACAAGCTTTTTCTGCTGTTGATACTTCTGTAATGAAACCTATAACAGATGTAATTTCTTCTACTAATCTTACTTTGCCTTCATTTATTTTGTCAATATCGAAAAAAAGCAACGGGATATGAAAATTTTATGCGTTTTCACGGTTACTCGGCATTCCCGTTTTCGGTTTGTCTATTTGTGTAGATTATATGTTTCCTACTATTTCCTAGACCTTTGAAGGCTATTGGTAGACGGATATTTTAATGTTACACAAAATATACTTGTGGATAGTTATCTTAAATCTTTGGAACTATCTACTCCATTCAAAACTTGGTAGGTTTTAAAATTACCGACCGGAATGTTGAATTATAAGACCGTCTTACTAGAAACAATAATACAATACTGTGTGTGATTCATTAGATAAATCAAAACCAAATATTTCAGTTCTTTCATCAGTAAAATTATATAATAAATTAAATAGGAATGAATAATGGAACATATTACCAGGTTAGATTTGGTCAAAACACTAAAAACTTATTGTATAGTTAATTATTGGCAGACAAACAGAGTACAAGATATGTTAGATTAACGTATTGGCTAGTGTTCTCATACTTATTTTTATTATTTAAACACATAAAAACTGGTACAAGTAGGAACCGAATACATATGCGCCACACAAGTCACTGGACTAGTAATACTACTCTGCTCACCATTAAAATAAGTTTCAACTCAAGGGTGAAGAGTATATCGTTTGTTCCAGGTTCTCTACATCGATTCAGTGTTGAGTCAGTATGTTTTTGTTGTAAATTCATGGACTTCTTGTGTGATTGTTACGTCTTTAAATATAACTAAACTGTTAAGCTTGTGACTTGAAACTAGACGCTAATTACTAATTCTGATACGACTGTTTGCGAAGACTGTGATATGTCTCTACCTGACACAATGCGGTGGAACGTGGCTGCTTTGTTGATGGGAGGAAGAGAACAAGACTGTAAAAGCAGGCTGACTTATTTTTTAACAACTAATTGGAAGACATCCGGAATAGTAATTTAAATATCCTTTTAAATGTTTTGGCCGATCAATAAATTGGACCAGTAACTAATCAATAACCCAATGCTCATAGAATCCGCGGGTGATAAAATAACTGACTTCGCTGTGAAATATAATTCATCACTGACTTATATAATTGATTTATTCCTAAGTGATATTACCAACTAATCATCAAGTGTGTGCAGAATCATATGTATGTAAATGAGTGACTTTCATGAACGCAATTTGTAGGGCCATTAAAGTATTCATTTGCACCATTTCTCTCGTTCTTATTTTTCGTCCTAAAAGTCACAATAGCTCCCGGTTCCAAGTATTGATAGAAAAATTATGATTACAACAACATCACTGCTTCATATCATTGCACATATACATAATACAAATGATTCAGTTGTTTTCCCAACAGAATACACTAAACAAGCACAATTAGCTCGGATAACGTAATTTTAAAACACCTTACTACCCTAACATAATTTCGTATCAGAAATTCACGACAGCTTATCTGGTCTAAAAGATACTTTGGAACTGTTAAAGCTTATCAGTACGACGCAACTAGGATATTCAGGGGATTTGTGCTTTCTGTGGGATGCAAACCCATACCGCTGAATGTTCAAGTCAGAGACGTTTTAACCAACTAACGGACCGTATTTGCGACTACTGAAAAGACAATACTAAAGTATGAAAAGAATTAACAACTGCACTCAATGAAAACCCGCTTTTCACATCGATTTTTAACAAGTATAAATTTAATTGGCTGTTAACTTCTAAATTGATTGATACGTAGTTCGCAGGTTTTCTAAACGCTCACCAACCTATTTAGCTTCTTGAATATAAATTACAAGGGAAAAACAAGTATTCAATGCGTTTTGTCAAGCAGTGATGAAGAGAACTTACGAAGTTGAAGATAATTTTATGGTAAAGAACGAAGCCGCCTCTACGTATATGCCATAGAATCCATAAAAGGACCAAGTAAATAGATTAACGCACTTTACTAACTGTGGCTTTCTTGAACCTAATGACTGTAAAGTCCGTTTAGTGAAACACAACAAGATTTACAGAAGCGGTTGATGACTATATTAATTGTTGTAACATTTGGTTTAGATACTAACGTTACATATACGACCTACTTCTACACAATGCATTAGAGTATGCCAAAATAGATGGTGATTCAGAATATATCTATTTACCAATTCAGTTGAAGATTTACATCTACAAGAATTTAGTACATTTTTGAGATTTCCATGAAATCCAGTCTGGTATACTGTAATTACAAAAAGACCTGGGAATAAAACCCTCTAAAATAATCCTCACAGTCAATGTGACAAGATGACTTTTACAGTAATCCACTTGAAGTTTATATGACCACATTAGCCCTGGTACGACTGAGGGTGGAGGGATTTAGCTCTCTCTTGCGAAATGCTCTCACATGGCCACAGGTGCACAACCACTGTTAGGGAAATCCTACTCACTGCCTTATCGCACCACAAGTGTTCTTTACGAAATCGAGAGGACGAAAAGCGAATGTCAGGCGCTTTAACCCGGTTGATGGATATGGAGAATCTACCTAGGGGGCGGGGGTCGAAAAACCCTGATTCCAAACCAATGGTCATATGGACTCCAGGATCTTGAAGGAACAAATGGCGTATGAAACAATCGTTGGTCACCGTCTACCATGGCACCGCATCTCCTGACGTCGCTCAACTGCCTTGTGGATTAGACCTTTAGGTCGACAGCTCCGGGTGTGGCCCCCTAAGAAAACCACCTGCTTCGGTCTGGGCACCCGGGCAGTATCACAGCCCACACACACAAATAAAGTGACTTGTGTGGCGCATATGTATCCGGTTCCCCTTTGTACCAATATTTATATGCTCAAATAAAATAAATAAATGACCACATTAATACTACTAACCCTCTACTCAGCTGTTGTTTTTACACCTCATAACTAATCCGAGAAACCCAGCAACATTTATAAATGAAAGTTTATAAGTACTATACAACGGCTGTTTGGTAGGAAAAACAATGTACATGTATACTGAAATACTTAATGTGTCAAAAATAGCTCTAGAATTTGTTTTTCGTAATTATAGCTCCAAATGCTATCAACATAATCGTTAATAGTGCCACTGTTTCGGAATAAACAACAGGCTTGAATGAGATTCCCTACAAAATAAAGTATCAGTGAATATTTTATTACCTTATGTCGAACGGTGACTGTGAAGACAGGAGGTACGCCAGATACAAAACCACCCTTTGAAGACCTCAGATAAGCCGTTACACCTTTTTCATTGTAAAACCGGACAGTATATTCTCCTTTAGGCACATCTTTGTGATTAAAGACGAACGATACCTAGCGTAATCAAGTTAATATTATAAACAAAATGTTAGGAATTTACTTGAAAATTGTCAGTTTCAATATGACGGGCAACTGGTTGAAGGACTCCATTTAACTCGGCGTACAAATTTGATGACTGTAAACAATCATCAGATAATATGAAGTCTTACTCCTTTTTCTTTACATTTGGCTTCACCTTCAATCAAAATCACGGTTTCAGTGGAGAGAACTGCTTCGCTTGAAGAGTAAGTAACCGGCCTGACGTCAAACTCGTCACAAGAAAGGGCTTTGAGAATGCGTTATTAGTCGTAAAATGATGACAATGCATACCAAGCTTCACAAACACGATCACGAAACTAACTAAGACCCAGTTCATCGCGGTGTTTACGTGTATTTGACCTTCAGGCAAGCAATCGATGTACTAAAAGCACAGTTTTGGACCTTCACTATATCTCATATCCAAATGCGTGCTTTAAAAGAGAGGTTCGAAGGCTTTTGTAAATAATTATCCATTAAATTTCCGTTTGTAAATGAATCTTTTTGAATGAACCAAGTGAGTGTGGATACTACCTCATCCAGTTTCAGTTTGGGAAGGACAAGAGGCTTGATGGCCCGTGTTAGTCCTGGCAGTGATAGTCTATCAGTTGATCCAACTTTCTTTTGGAAGAATCGACAGATGGAGCTTCAACCACGTGCTGAGGTGGGCAGTTCCACTCGTTGATGATTCGATGGGAAAGTCGATAGTCAGCTGACAAGTAATTTGTTCTCGGCTTGTGAACTTTTTGGAGTGTCCTCGTAAATTCTCTGTTTTGGAAGACAAGAAAAATGAGGGCATACCAGGTGCAAATTTATCACTAAGCAATTTGTAGACTGTAATCAAGTCGCCTCTAGTTCTGCGATATGACAACGGGAAAAGGTTCAGCTTGGCCAGTCGAGATTCATACGGAAGCTTCGCTATTCCGGGAATCAGCTTAGTCGCCGTTCTCTGAACCTTTTCCAGAAGCTCACTGTCTTTTTTAAGCAGGGGCTAGCCGCTTGTATGCAGTACTCAAGTTTAGGACGAACGAACACTGTATACAAAGTCAAAAACGTTTTGGCGTCGACATGACTAAAAGCCCTACGTATTGACCATAACGTTCTAAAACTTTTGGCGGCTATTGCACGGCAGTGTGCAGTAGTCTTTAAGTCTTGACTAACGATAACTCCTAAGTCATTATATGTCTGGACGACAGGTAGCTCAGTGTTATTCATCGTGTATGTATCTGTGCCTTGATGACCGATATGCATCACAACACACTTGGAAGTATTTATCGGCAACTGCCATGTTTGAGACCATTCAGATAACTTCTTCAGGTCATTTTGAAGTTCTAAGCTATCACTCTTACATCGTATCGTTCTCCATATCTTGACATCGTCAGCATATAGCAAGACCGATGATGATAGGAGACAAGGAAGGTCATTTACATACAAGAGGAATAGCACTGGCCCCAAAACTGTACCCTGGGGCACTCCACTAAGCACAGTTTCCCAGCTAGATAACTTTGAGTTCACCCGAACTCTTTGTTGACGCCCAACTAAGAAGTCTTTTATCCACATCAATAAATTGCCTCCAATCCCGACTTTCTTAACTTATATAACAGCCGGTTGTGCGGAACTTTATCAAAAGCTTTACTGAAATCAATGAAGGCGACGTCTACAGGTAGCTTTTGGTCCTTAAGAGCACACCAGCTTTCACGAGCCACTAATAAGTTAGTGAGACAAGAATAACCTATTCTGAAGCCGTGCTGCTTCTCCGAGAGGATCCGGTTTTTATCGAGATACTTAAACAGCTCCTTCCGAATAATCTTTTCTAAGATTTTAACAACCACACTAGTTAGGCTAACGGGGCGGTAGTTCTCAGGTTTGTGTTTCGTACCTGTTTTGAAGACAGGACTTACTATGGCGTTTTTCCAATCTTTCGGTAAGCGACCCTGCGTAACGGATAGGTTAAAGCATGTACTTAAAGGGCTTGCAACGAAGTTAGATAATTCCTTCAGTAGCCTAGGATGTAATTCATCGGGCCCCGTGGATTTACCTATGTCAAGCTTATTTAGCAGACCAAAGACATCGAGTTCTTTAATGGTCACGCTATCCAGTGTATGTATGGGGGATCTGTATACGCTGACGAGAAGGGTGCTTCTATGGTATACACGTTGCTAAAGTAGTTCGAGAACGCTTGAGCCTTACCAAAGTCGTCCTCCACTAATGATGAAGCAGTACTGTCTCCCCATAGAGCAGGAATATTTCCTTTTCTCCTTGTCCTTTGGTTTATATAGGAATACAAGCGTTTAGGACATTCTATGGATTCCTTAACAAGTTTTTCTTCGTACAATTTTCTAGACTTACGGAGGGTCGAGGCACAAGTGTTCCGAGCCTTTCGATACTGAGATTTTGACTCATCAGTCCCCAGTAACCTAAATCTATCCCACATTTTCCTTTTCTTACGGAGAAGGATACGGACCTCCCTACTGAACCATGGTGGTGAGTTTTTCGGCCCCTTTGGTATAGTCCAAGGGATGTGAGGTGTGGTAACTTTTAAGTATGAATTTCGAAATGCGTCCCAGGCCGTTTCAATGGAGGACTCTGGGTCTATTGTCCAATCTATTAACGATGCTGAGTGCATGATGTCTGGTATGTTTGCTTTCCAGACGTTGGGTCTGGACTGGACTGACGCGTCCTCGTGACTGGCAGTTATATGGAAGTCGAAAGTTAAAACTGCGTGGTCACTTTTACCTAAGGGTGGCATATAGGAGGTTCGCAACATCATCCTCATAGTGAGTCAGTATAAGATCTAATAAGGATGATTCAGTGTCCGGATCGTACCTTGTCGCTTCTTTCACATGTTGCACTGGAGCACATGTGATAACCGCATCAACTAGTTCCTGCTCGAAGGAATTTTCTGACGATTCAGTTCGCAGATTTTCCCAGTCTACCATAGGTGCATTAAAGTCCCCTAGGATTAGACATCGACCACTTTGGGACCAAGTATTGAGACTGCTTAACAGGATCTCATTTGCCTCACAGCTTGGACTGCGATAGACCAAACCAATCAGCAGCTCTTGTCCCTTGCATTTTAAGCGAAGACTAACTAATTCACACGTCCCACTCTCATGGGATACACTATCGATAATGGTAAATGGGATAGCATTCCTAATGAATAGAGCTACTCCCCCTCCTTTGCGCTTTTGTGTTCTGTCGGCCCTTACTAACGTAAAGCCCTCGAAATCAAGTTCTATACTATCTATAGCCTGTGTCAGCCAGGTTTCTGTTACTGCGATTATATCTGGCTTTGTAGAGTCAATCTGTACACCTAGTTCCGATCGCTTATTAAGTAAGCTTCGTGCATTGGTGTAACAGATCCGAAGCCTGTTTAAGTGCCTTCGTGCTTCACCCAGAGTGGCTTCGGCATCATTCTCTGTCGAAGTCTTACAACCCGAAAATTTACAATTTTCAGGTCCTTTTCGCCAGCGTCTAACCTATGTTGTAGTTCTTTCTCGGCTTCCCGTCTTTTAACACGGTCTGCCAACGGTAGGTCCTTTCGGATAAAGACTCCTGAACCCTTTAATTTGTGTCCATTTTGTAAAATTAGGTCACGTTCGTTCGAAGAGCCGAATACTACTTTAAGCAGTCTGGAATGATTTGGTTTCGAGTCCGTTAGACTCCCTAGTCTGTACACCTTTAGCAAGGTGACCCCGGTCATATTTTGAGGCATGAGTTGATTAAGCAGCTGCCTAATCAGTACAATGTCATGCTCAAAACGAGCTTTAGGTTCAGAGCTCTCGCTCTCCTAGTATCTATGAAAAATAGCTGATCTGTCGCTATGATCAGCTTTCGGTTTTGCGACTACTTTCGGGAGGGGGTGTAGGATTACCTTTTATATCGCTACTTTTTTCTTTCTTACAACCTGTACCCACTCGTCAACGGTGCTGGAGAAGCAATAACAGTTGCGTCAAACCTAGTGTTGGATTTGGGGGGGTTGTCGACGACCCTAGAGGTCAGGTTATGTTTACCGCTTGAAACCGATCGAGCCTTGCGATTGCGGCTTCTAGGTGTTTCCTGTTGGACCCCATCTGGGAGACGGGGAACAGAAGACCTTACTTTTCTTGAGCTTTTGTTTAAGGCAGGCCCTTGGAGACTGCTTCCTTCTTTGACGGGCGTGTCATCTATCACCGGACTAACCTAGTTTCCTTCACGTTGATTTGTGTCACAGATCGAGTGCTGTTTGACGCGTTCCGACTATGCTTGCTAAACACTTCTTTGCAGCATCAACCAGTGAGATGGCCTCGGTTACAGCTGTTTGCATCCGAGCAGCACTGTTGACAAAGCCACACACAACCCTTCTACTGAACCGTTTGAAAGCAGCAGGCGTTAAGTTCGTGCAAACTTCGTGGTACCAGCTTGCATCGTCGCACTGCATGCCGCTTTCAACAGGATAACGACAACCGGACGTTGGCAACTGCTTTTTTACCTGTCCGGTCATTTAGGTTTATGCGATATACTCAGAAACAAAAAATATCAATGACAAAAGTGAAGACTGTAGATTGTAGGACCAAAGTAACAGATACATGAAAAGAGGTACTCAAGAGACCACGACAAACTAATTGAAGAACTAAAAACTCTAGTCGAATACTTAACTGAAATAATTCAATTAAACGGTTTGTCCCTAACTTCAAAATCCCCTTCTTTTTCCTCACAGTTTTTCCTGCTCAGTCGAAAGAAATACAAGGGAAATTTCACGTCGTGCACATGACACTTATGTCACCTTGTTGTAGCATTGGTTCCTCACCAGGCGATCCTTGAAGCTAAACAAATAATAACTAAGAAAAACTAAGTCAAATGTAGGACACTCGGATAAGGTCAAAAATATAAGGGTAGGAACCTTTAATGTAATGCCATGGCTCTTCCTTGCTGGAGTGATCGCTCTAAGAAACATCTACGTTTTTAAATCAGATATATCATCTTATTCCCTGCCTAAATCCGAAATTCAAAGGTCTTGAGAAAACACACTACTGACTGTAACTGTAAGACGAGTCTGTATGGACAATTATGTGACTTCAACTCAGTATCTTATCTATAGGATAGTCATATCATGACGAATCCGCAATACAGGATCAAGTCCATTGTTCTAATAGCACAGATAGATGCAAAAATACCAACCTTGACCTAAATTCCACGTTCGAACATCACTAAGAGGAAGATTAAGAACGCTGAACCAGCCACATTTCTTTGTATAACCTCAGTGTTAATACCCGTAGTTTTACAGTAATAAGATTCGAAGTTGACAATTTCGCGAAGTCGTGTTGTGAGAGATTTAAACCGGGATGAGTGATCTCGTAT